CAGCGATTTGTGTGATTGGGATGTGTGAAGAAGAGCGGTTCTCGTCATGTCCGTCGGTGTATTCCACTGAGTTGGAGGTGATTCACAGAGTGAATTCAGTGCAATCAGCTGTCACCGGGTATTCGGATAAGAGAACAACGCTGGTCTCCCCATTAGGATTGGTTGTTGTTTGTTGGTTAGTAATGGAGACACCGAACGACTGTTCACATCAGGTCAACACATCTAGAGACTTGAAGTGATTTGTATCACAATGCAATGTCCACACTATTCGGTGGACTCGGATTTCTCGTGTGTGTGTTTGTTTGTTTGATTCGTGTTGTGTCGATGTGCGCAGTTGTGGAGGTGTGTTTGTGTAATCCGTGTGAATCGTGCGTTGTCGACTGATAGATTATGACTGGCGGTGTCTTGTGTATGATGATGATTGTGAGGCGACTATAAATTGTTGATTACAGTGCGTATAGCTGATGCACTCAATGGACATTATGATTTAACCTAATAACTTTTTTATTTTGGCTGGTTTTCTGCTGAATTCTTTACTGAATTGTTTCCTATGATGTAACTGTTTCTAGTTAAACTTTGGTTTTTTGTTTATTCCTCTGTGTTTTCTCTTTTTTTTTTATTTTTATGCTGTGTAATTCTTTTTGTTTTCGTTATTTTTCTTATATGGATAGTTTTTAATGGTTATTACGTGATAATTTCCTTTATCCGGGTTGTTAAATCTCCCTCTTGAATTGTAGTCTACGTTTTCATGTATGGTTTCGTTTTGTTCTACTTGGATTTTTTCTTTCTGCTTAATTGTTTTGTCGTGACGGGTTTATTGTTTTAGTGTTTTATATATCTGATATATATTTTTTTCTTGTACAGTGAAATATTTTCAGGTCCTTGTGAATTATATTCATGAAGCGGAGTACCGAACTAGGGAAAATCTTTGTTATTCTTCTTATCACTTGCATTCTTAATTTATTCGTGTGTAATGTTTTCGGGAGTTGTGGTGAGAGCTGTCTACTAGCCAAATTGACGTCGATGTTTACGTTCTCAAGATTGGTCGTGAGAAAATATGAACAAGACTGATTCAAAAACCGCCCACAGCAGACTTTGCGTAGGCGGATACAGTTAACATATAGATGATCTGTTGCCTGGCCCTTGTCTTCTGTTGTTACAATATGTCTAACTGGACTTCCCGGTGTTCGGGAAGAATTCCCAATTATTTATTAAACTTGCTTCCTTACTATGAAGGAATGTTTGAACTATCGACGTGTTGGCGAAGCAGTAATAACCTTAGAAGACCTACGATTTTGCGTTATAATTTTCTAAATACTGCAATTTGCGTATCCTTTCGCTGTTAGTGTTTCACTAGTAAGCGTACATTTACTTTCTGTCACAGTTCGGTTTTAGACTATACTTGACTAATACATCATCGAATGAAAACCTCCATATATTTTGTCAGTGATCCTAGATTTTTTAAAATTCTTTTGTTCATAGCTTGATTCCACACAGTATTTTGGTACGAGTATGGAAGTTTCAGCGTGTTATATTGGTAGCCCAAATTTTGCAGGGCGACCAATTGATATCAAGTGTGCGTCGGCAGGGGATCGAACCCCGAACCATGTGCATGGTCGGCGACAGTTCTGACCACTGTTCCACCGACACACGGGAATTTTAGCTGTCAGCAACTGAGAACACGCATTCCAGTCGGCTGTTTACATCAGACTTAGTTGTTGTTCTCCGTGTGTTAATTAATCATATGAATTTTAATGATGTCTACGTTTCAAGAACAGTTTTTAGCTGCTCATAGTCGTATTAATGTATACCCACGACTAGCTAACTTGCTTTATAACTTCCTTTCGCATTTAAACGACCGATAATGAGCAGACTTCGGTTATCCCCCTTCGAAATACTCTCATATAGCCACATGTTCATAGCCTGTATCTTTTAAGTCCTATTGACTGCCTTTACGCGGCAGGATAGTTCTTCACAAAAGTGAAAGAGCGAATGTGAACATCCAGAGTTTATAACCGAACTGTTGGACATACTGGTCTAACTAATGGAGATGGAAAACCGTGATTCCAAACCTTTCGTGTACATGGGATCTAGAATTAGAACTGATAGAATGCTATATGAACCTGTTTTGGACACCGGCGACCATGGGAACGTTGCTGCACTGCCCTGTGGACCAAACTTCAAGTAAAGGGTTGGATGTGTGTGTGGCCCCCAAAGGCAACCACCTGCTTTGATATTGGCATCCGAGCAGTATTCCAGCCGTCGCAGAAACCACGAGATTTCATGTGTGTCGCATCTGCTGGTGCCCATAATGCGTTAAAATTGTGTTTGAATAAATAAAACTACTCCCTCCTAACATTTTACTGCAATTCCCCATATATATTCAGGATAAGTATTGCATTATTCTGATTGCCCATTCTCGGTGTTGATGCGGTAAACAACAATTCAGTGATTTATCTCTCTCTCCGCCTAACAGCATTACTCAATACTTTTAGTTTATCGCACCGTACTTTTTGATTCCATGCAGGTGAATGAATTGCAGTAGCCGACCTGTTTTCTAGATTATTTAACTTTCGACAATCCAGCTTGGAAGGATTGAGAAAAATTATGACACTTAGGTAAATTTAAATAAGACACTTGAAAGACAAATATTGTGAGCTGATATCATATTGTAGTTTCTCTACAGCCACATTACAACGAACATCGTTCATACTAATAACATATTTAGCAATCAGTCAGTTAGTTATGTGTAATGAAAATGTATATTGATAGCCAATAGTGTCCTAATAGGTCAAGTAATTCAGAGTAAGTGCAAAGGTTGAAGTCTGTTTATATAGTTTAGAATGCTTTTGATCAATCCATAAGTGGTTCCATCACCTGTAATAACCATTAATTAAGATTACCTGAAATAATTGAGAAACAGTCATAAATAAAGACTTTATGTCCAGATATTAATAAATGTTTTGCAATAAATGATGCTGGATTAAGTACATTTGGATTTCCTGTTTGACTTGCTAACCACTTAGAATTATTTTTGTAGCGGTAGGTTATTCCCCAGAATTATTGGCCACAGCATTCATCACTGAACAGTGGATGCTAATCCTCACTGTTTAAGTCAACTTGTTTAGCTGAAGAATTCCGGTCAAGCATCCATGTCATTTGGTACGCCATCGTGTCACGTTCGTGCACGATTCCTAGTCAGGTAATCAATTATCTCGAACTCAGATTAGGTGCCGAAATATAATTCGTAATTTGGACGGTCAATTCTGGTGTTTTCCTTTGCCTTTGGTCTACGCGGGACGAATAGTATAGAAGTTGTGGGTATTAAATCTTACGTTTGTATACATCATACTATCCGTGAACGTCAACACCATTAGCATCTAAATGTTCATTACGACAACAATCGTATACTTTATTGGTTCTACGTATATATTGTCTCCTCACAACTGGAGGTGAACTTGCAAATATAGTGTGACGTAGCGTCTGTAGAATTTCGTCGCTTAACTGTCAACCTTACCAGTAGTAACGCACTTATAGAGAGGCTCCAAAAAAAGATAACATCTAACAATATTCGTTCCATATTAATTTTTTTATTAGACATATAACAGTGAAACAATTTATTCTTGTTCATAATCATATCATTATTTGTCACTACATAACTTCGAAACTTTCGTCTTGTAGTTTTCTTTATTCCTTCCTATTCTTCGTGGGGATAATAGAATTTTCCAGATGTCCAGGACAGGTGTTGAATCATTCCTATTGCACGTATTTCCCTCCACTCTGTTACATTAGATTTTAAGACTGTCATCTTATCCCATCCTATAGTATGGTTGTGTGTAACTGTATGTAGTGCTATGGCTGAACTATTCTCCAGATTTTTTTATCTTATTAGGTTCAACAAATCTAGACTTTTCTGGGTTTTTGTGCTCCGCTAGTCTGACTGACTTCGTTCTACTACTTTAACTTATGTAGTTGACACGACAGTCATTGCAGACAGGGTATTAGATAAACTTAACTGGTTGTTTATTGAGCTCCATTGGAAGGATCATTTAACCGGCAAAGTTTATTTCTAAATGAGTTTCACTGTGTGATATATCTAATAAACAAATTAATATGGAATTATATACTACCATAGTGTCCCAAGGTTCACACACACATATATTAACAACTTTTGTCTTTTAAATACCTTATTTAGATTTTTCTCAACCCTCCAAAAGAAATTCCAAAGTTGTTAGCACCCTTCAGAAAACATGAAGATGCAGGAAATTCAGGTTGTTGTTGTTGTTGTGGTTAGCATTATATCTTTTGAATTGTGCACAAAGTTTTAGTGTTGAGAGATAAAAACAATATAATGTCACAATGTGGTCGCGGTAAAATCACGAATTGGTAGAAGTTAGAATTCATGGGCCATCCAATACGGTCCCAGTGGCTAAATGGTATGCGAGCTTGTCTTGTAAACGAAAAGTCCTGGGTTCAAACCCCAGTGGGTGCGTACTGCCGATGAATTCCAAACTAGGAGGAAACAGCTGGCTATCCAGTACTCCCTGCTGGTTTTCAATGGTTCTCTAACTGATATATATATATATATATATATATATATATATATATATATTGAAATTAATCTAAATGCTAATCGTCAACTCATTGGCGGCTACTGGATAGGCTATCCTCACGTTCTAATGAGAAGTCGTGACCAGTGTGCAGTCCACAAATGTCAAGGTGACGTGTATGCTAATTAAAAGCATTGATTGGAGTGGTAGAACGCCAGATCACAAATTGACTTAGTCGGTTATTAAATCTCAACCCAAGTAGCTGAATGATCAACGGGCTTGGATTCGTAACACGAAGACCCTAGGTTTAGTCCATGGTGAAGTTGTGGGTGTCCAATGCTGAAGCGTCCCAAACTAGGATGAAACAGCTCTCTCTTTTCGTCTCTGTCTAAATATATTTAACCCCGGTAATCATCCAAAAACACGTTTTAAAGATAAATAAAGCTTCAAAAATACAAATTTAATCAGAAAGTGTTATAATAATGAGTAAACAAAGTAACAATATCATCAGTATAGTGTATTTACTATCTGTACACAAATTTCATTTATTTTTATGTAGAGAAACAAGATGACTACAATAAAAGTACTGAAATCATGTCAATTGTAAGCGATTATCTATGACATCATCACTATCTCTATCAGTCAATATATCTTGAGCTTTATAATGTTCTAGTATGCTAAAACCTTGTTGCCAATCTGAACGATATTCAGCGAATGGACTGAGTACATCACATGCAATCTTGGAAAATTTACACAACACATGACCTAGACAATTCATTTTACTAAACATATTCTCCTTGTTGTTGTCATAGTTACATAATAGAAAACTTTTAATTTCATCCATTCGTCTACAGTTGTGAAATTCATTCACATCGTCTATATGACATAATAAAAAAGAAGCAACAGAATACACTAATTGACCAAGTTGTAAACAATCTGACGGTAACCAAGTCAACCTCCAATAGAATTCAGTTAGACTACAAGCGATTATAACGTTTACAAAAGTATCTTTAGACATTGCAAGCTTTCGTTCATTACGATAGTGATGATTACGCTTATTTAAGCTGTTCAATGTTAAATCCATTGACATTGTAGTTATACACTGAACGCGAGAACAACATCGTGCTAAATACAAACTGTCTTGATGACCAAATAATTTATAATATCGATGATGACATTCTTTGTCTTGAACAGATGTCAATTGAATATTTTGTAGAGATTTATTAATTTGACAACATCGAGCATACATGATTATGGCGTCCAAAGCTAATGAGAAGCAAAATAAAACGTACAATTTTAAGGCAATATGATATATGCATATTAATTTACAAAATTTTACACACATAGTTAAACAAAGTAATTTCACATCTGATGGCAAAAAATTTGAAACTTCTAAATGGCCTAGAAACCTTCAAAATCCTAACGGTTGATGATTATGAATAATAATTCATAGGCATAATTTAAAGCATGAAGTGCGGCTTCATCACTTTGGTAGACTGAACTTGAGCAAGCCAGTGAAACTAGGCAAATGAAACTATATTCATGAAAAAGGTGTTGAATGAAGTGTAGGAATATTAAACAAGATATCTGGTTACTGACTGACTGACTGATTTCAGCATAGAACACATTGCACAGAGTCCATCCGTTCAAGTCGCCCCATACCATGTGAAGCATTCAAAGGCGGAAAATAGACAGAGAAAAAGGATTCAAAAGGACTAGAATAAACAGAAAGCTGAGGGCGAAAGAATAGTAACATGCAAAAACACTGAAGTCCAGTGAGTATAGAGAATCATAAACAGTGAATGCATAAGCGCCATTGAGAATTGATTTTGAGCTATATCACCAATTGTCTCCAGCCACTGGTTCGTAGAATCCCGAAAAACCCAACCAAGAAGCATACACATCTCTACATAGCTTAAACTAACTGCCGAAAATTTCATGGAACGATTTCAAGTTTTGGTTTGGCTACCAATAGCTCTTTTCCAATCTGATCATGTGTCAGCTGACATTGTGTATATTGGGAAGGCGATGGCTATGCATACGTAACACGATATCTAGTTGGCTTACGGTTAAGGCGAACTCGTCATTCCAAGATTCTCGATGCAATCATCCATCTGGGCATCTTTTCTTAAGCATCTCTACCTTGTTACTTGGTGTTACTAAATATACACATACATGAGAAACTAGAGATCTTGAAGTACACAACTGATGTTTCATCCAATTCTAATCATCCTCTGAAAGCTGACAACTACCGATTAATTATGACATTCTGAAACCTGTCAAGTGAACTTGATTTATTATTGTATTAAACTTGAGACTACTTCAGTTAGTCAGCGTTGAAGATATTTTTTTGGTGTGCCCACACACATACTACTCACTGATTGATATAAGTAGTTGGATACCACTCACATCAACCAATAGTACTTGCTAACCAGATTATCGAAGTGATGTGAACACGGAAAGACCGTTTCACTCGTTTTGCAGCAAACCTCATCAGTGGTGTACTCAGTTCGACTCAGTTTAGACAGTTGAATTTTGGCTAGCTACTTCGGGGAACTAGAAATCCGAGTAATCAAATATGCAATTTATACAACCATAAATATCAAATCTGCAGCTGAGTCAAACAACCAGGTACACTGTTGATTTGCTCAGTCTCAAAGAAGCAAATCAGTTATCTGGTGGTGATCAAATCACTTCGATAATCCAACTAGCAAGCACTATTGATTGATGTGAATGATATTTAAGTGCCCACATCAATCAATCAGAAGTATAAAGCAACATATACTCATACTTCCTTTCTTGATTGCCATTTATGGTATCAAGCAGATCACGCGTGTTGTGATTTTTTAACAGTTCATTTAGCATAACTATCAAATTAGATAGACTGGATCAAATTCATAAGCAGTGACCTTCAATATACTAGAAATTTTCATTGAATCACTATCTGTTGTAGCAGTAACTAGCTACAGAAGGTCGAAGTAATGAAATAATTTATTACAGGATTTCATCATGAACTGACATTGGTTAGAGGACCATTGGAAACAGCTGTCCAGTACTCCCAGGTTTTCCAATGGTCCCCTAACCAATGTCAGCTCATGATGAAATCCTGTTACCAATCAATCAAATTCCTACAAACCAACACTTGAAATAATTTATCTTAAAGTGAAAAGTATATGCATACTTTGATAAACCTGATAGGAAAGTATTATGTCCTTTTTATGATTACTGACAGTTTTTATAATCTACTCCATTCAATCATTTGACGATATGGTGTAACTGAGACAAGACTTGGGCAGATATACTAACGTCGACTGACAATAAACGATATGTCGCTAGACTAGACTCAGATACATTAGGATAAATGTCTCCTAATACTACTTCACTCAGAAAATCGCATGTATTTGAAAATGACTTCATAGCATGTCGTTTACTATCAGTCTCGCCAGTGAATTAGTATTTGAACACATTCTAGACTCAGGGATTGACTTGCTACCAGGGAATAATCTCATCGACTTAGAATATGCGGACGATATAGTCCTTCTAGGTGACGACGCTGACAAAATGCAGAGTCTACTGAACTCCTTGAGCAACAATCTTCGTATGTTTGGCATGCGATTCGCCCCTGTAAAATGTAAGATGATGCTGCAGGATTGGACTTCATCGACCCCTAGATTAGAAATAGAAAGTGAAGTGGTAGAACACGTTGACCGCTTCAATTACTTGGGAAGTACCATCAGCCCCAACGGGTTGACCTCAGACGAAATTTCAGCACGAATACAGAGAGCTAGGTTCGCATTCGCCAGTTTTCGCCGTCTCTGGCGTAGACGCGATATCCGACTATCGACCAAAGGGCGTGTGTACTGCTCAACAGTCCGCTCCGTCCTCCTTTATGGCTGTGAGACCTGGCCATTGAGAGCAGAAGACATGAAAAGATTAGCTGTCTTCGATCATAGGTGTCTGCGTTCTATCTACCGCGTGAAGTGGTATAATAAGGTGAGCAATATTGAGGTTAGGCGTCAAGTTCTAGGTAAGGCGGGGAAATCAGTCGACGAGACTGTGAAATTACATCGACTGAGATGGTTAGGACATGTGTTACGTATGCCTAGTCATCGCCTTCCTCGATGAGCAATGTTAGCTGATATAGGGCCAGGCTGGAAAAGAGCTAGCGGCGGTCAGATCAAAACATGGCACCAGTCAATGAAACCTACAACAATTAGTCTAGGCCACGTAGGAAGGTGTAGACTTCCTGGTTGGGGTCCTCGGGACGGTAAAAACCAGTGGTTGGACACAATTGGTGACATGGCTCAAAATCGTTGTCAGTGGCGCAGATGCATCCACTCCTTGTGACTTATGATTTCCGTTATTACTATTCCTTTGTCTCACACTTCTATTTACTGCCTATATTATGCATTTCTCCTACTTTCTTCTCTTGCTTTGTGTGCAATGTGGAGTGTGGCGACTTGAACTGCCGCACATATGTGCAAAGTTCTATGTCGAAAATCGACCGACCGATTCTAATATCTTTAAGTAGCTGAACAGTACGCCGTTTACCTCCAGTTTTAACGTCAAGCTCTACACTTTCAAAAAAAACTAGCACACGGATTAGCACAAGTATGTTAAACTTAATACTTCCCTTGTTATTCATCCAGTGCTTTAAGATGCTAAATAGAATGCCAATCGACAGCTCACGTCTTTATTTAATAGTCAGGTTTGTCTATCATACGAAAAAAAAATCACTAATACTGTCTGGAATGATTGCTGCTCTACTTTCAAAAATAAACGGACTGAGTAGATGGTATCAGATATGAGAACATAAATATGTTCAAATTCTAGTTCAGTCATTCGTCTTTGTACTCTAATGAATTAGCAACATGTCTTATACAGTAAGTCGTGTAGTATTTACAGTATGACAGGGAATTGAAATGCCTACAGAACAGAGTTGTGATAACAGTCAACTGTTTACTTTTGTAGATCAGTTATTATCCTATATGTTAGCCCCAAACTTCCTAATCGAGGAAGTAGGAGCATAAAAGAAATACTTCGTCATAAAAATTATGCATTTTTATCTTGCACAAATACTTTCCACAGTCGGAGATCATTTTACTCAACAGATAACGACAAATAGTTTTGAATGGGATACGTGTGGACAAATATTTAACTAAAACGCTCTTTTATATAATACAGGGGACAGAAATTATAGTAATTCTACTGAATGCTGAGTTACCACGGGTTATAAATACTTAAAAAAATTTCCTTTGCGTTGGAAGTGGAAGTGAAGTTTCATTCACGGAGTGAAACTGTAAGCCCTATGTCTAATTTCTATTCTTTTCTAGGCTAACTACAGGCTAATAAACTAGTCAGGGATTAGAAGTGTATCAGCCTGGAATCGAATCTGACCTGGTGAGTACTCTACAACTGAACTGCTGATACAGTGATACTTTCTCCTTTCCTATATCAATGATTATTACCTTTAAATTAGCGTACTGACGCATTTTGAATCAATTTTTATACTCTGCGTAAAAACAATATACACGCCAGATAAACATTATCTTCGTATTGATTTGTATAGAGCAATTTCCAGTTTGAGTAGCATTTAACTGATTTAAACTATCATTATATGTGGATTTGCTAAACTTCAGGAACCAAACAGTATTGAAAACCTTTCAAGTAAGTTTGGTGTGTCTGTTATATCTGATAAATGTTTCAAAAGAGAACAATTAATGGTTAGTAGGAATGACTGAACATGATACATGGTCATCGACATCAACTTGCTACTGATTTTGGGTATTTAATAAGTACTAATTGTGCGTCGGTGGCATAGCGGTTAGAACGCTCGCCGACCATGCACATAGTCAGGGGTTCGATCCCCGGCCACAGACTCACTCCTTTACCTCGCTAAGCCAGAGATAATGCTGGTGAAGAGAAAAGGTTGGGCATGAGGCTAGCAACCTCATCCTGTAAAATAAACACTGCTACAGAAACTTCAAGCCACTAGCTTGAAGCCCTATGTTCCACTGGGGAACGTGAAGGAAAAAAAATAAGTACTCCTTGATTTCCAAAATGAATTTCTTTTTAACCTGAAGTTTTCATTGGATGTGAAACGTTATCATCAGTGAGAATGGACACTGAAGTAAGGTGTTACAACTGTGAATGCATGTTTGCAGCACTTCAGTTAGCCCAGACCGATCAATCGTTGAATAGATGTGTTAATGAAAGTTAGGAGTAAGGATGTATGTCCATTGGTGACAACGAGGATGTCTTGGGTTTCGCCGCCGGTAAGATCGTAGATACACACTGTTGTGGAGCGTTATACTGGAAAATCATCTATCCAAAGCTGTAAATGTTTTGGTGATTTTCTCACTGATTTCTACCACCGATAACAAGTATCTTTAGAACCATTTTAAGTAAAACAGTATGCGTTTTAAGTCTCAATTATAAATCTGCATAAATAAGAAATTCGGTTACAATTCATCAAAAGCAATCTGATCTAAACAAATCCGGTGACACCACTTGTGATCGAGGTTCCAATAAAGTGAAACGGTCATCCGATAATTGCCTAGCAGGAGCTTCATCAGCACATGCTTAGCATGTCGAGTCATCACCTTTCTCGTCAAACAATGAAAGCTGAAATACATACGACTAGGTTGAAAAAGAGTCAGAAGTGGCCAAACCAAAAAGAAAAAATAGCACCAATCAATCCATTAAATGTTCGACTATTGGTTTGAGCTATATAGGGAGGCGTAGACTGTCAGAGTGGAGTCATCAGGGTTCTAGAAATCAGTGGTTTGACACTGCTGGTGAAAAGGCTCAAATTTTTTTTCAATGACGCAGATGCATTCACTCTTCATAATCTCTTAGATTCATTTTTGTTTTTCTTTTTTCTGCCTTTGTGTGCTATATGAAGTGTGGTAACTTGAAGTGTACACTTCAGTCAGAAATCAACGCGACCAATTTCTACCTACTCACATTAGTCAGTAGTATATATTTTAAACGATAAAAAGTTTAAGTCTTATGTGAAAAAAAATAACAACAAAACTTACCGGTATCAACGTCAGGACAAACTTTAGTTTTACCATACAAACAACTTGCAACTTGGCTTATTACTTCATTGTCATAGATTTCTAAACATTCTGGACAGTAGCGCACAATAACTGGTCTGACTAAACTATCTTCACTTCCATCTTTCACTTTTACTGAAGAAGGCAGTTTTTCAAATGGTATTGGTTCACTTAAACATTCAGGTGAACAACATTTAAGCGAGGTGATCCTTTTCTCCTAAAAACACAGATTGTGAAGATTAAGAAAATAAGAGACAATGCGAAATAAAAAAAACTTCGATGTGCATATATCAGTTAACCTACTGCTGTGGAGCCAGGTATATCGGTCGTTTGACGCGGACCCTATCCAAGAGGATTCAAGAGCACCATTCAGCATGGTTGCGAAAAGGCAATAGTGGTGCAATAAGGAGTGCGATAATTGAACACCTGGTTAACATTGATCATTTCATCTCAACAAATGCCTCCTTCAAAGTAATCTACAGAGTCAACAAAACCTAACAAAGGCAATACAGATTCGTCTTCTTTGTATCGCTGAAGCTCTGACCATTCACACAGTAAAACCGGAGCTGTGAATACAAAAGAGAATTACTCAACCACTTCTGCTATCATGGTAAGAACTTTATTGATTTCGATAACTTAATTTGCTTGTTTGCCTGTTCTTTAATTCATATAATAATTGCCGTTGTAGAACTAAGAAAACAATATTCACAGAAGAGACTCTTACCAACGCATTTATCATCAAGCTGTACAATAGTATATATATGCTTTTTATCGAAATTAAAACCGGTGACGCAATAAGGTTAAAGGTGTGATTACATCAAATTATAATAGAAAGAAATGCAATTAAAATATTTGTGATTATAATCATAGTTTAATGTCAAGTGGCAAAATAATTAATGTCGAATATAGAATAATACATAAGGTGTATAGATTTTTTGGAAACGGGTATATAATTATAAGATTAGTAGACGAATATAAAATGTTACATAACATGGTGTGAAATTTGATAAGATAGAATTCAATATTGTAAATATAAAAATTAAAAAAATTAATAATTTTGGGTTTAAAATGTCAAGTGGGTCAAGTGGAAAAGATTCAGAGTGAGAAAAGTAATAATAATGATAATAATATTAATAATAATCGTAGTAATAAGGGAAGAGTACATAGAATAACTAAATAAACAAAATAAATAAATGTCTATCCCTCTACGGCCAAGGCAGAAGTAGGGATTGTACATACTTCTTTTGTACACAAAGGTCTGGCTTAAAGTCATGAATTGCCAAGGCCTCAGCTGTCTTTAGAAGTCTGTAACGAATAAAACGCGGGAAGTTAGTATGGATTCTATATATGATCTTAAAATCATGGTCAGGGTTGACAGAGTGACAGAAGTCGATCAGGTGTTCCAAAATAGAGCTTCGCACACACTTCCTTTCTCCCTTGTAAAACCAAGCTGGAATATGTTCTCGTATCCGTGTGGAAAGCGTCCTCTGACTACGGCCAATGTGCCTTGCTCCACAAGAGCAGGTGAACTGATAGATGCACATGGAGGTGGCCAGACGGGTGAGCTTATCTTTTACAGAGGTAGAGAACAACTTGCGGCTAGTGAACGTCATATGTAATTTTAAATCACGAAAAATACCCATTTATTCATAAGTAAAAACACAGTTTTTGTTCAGCGAAGAAATTTCTTTTCAACGACTTCATTTTCAAGCTGTACAGTCGTATTTATATTACAGAAAAGGTCATTAAGTGGCACTAAATAATTGCTCAGTCAATATACATATATGTGATAAGAATAACGATAATTAAAATGTTATAAGGGGTAGAGTTGAAGTGGATAAATTACAAAATTATTAAAGATTGTTTTATAAGTGAATTGAAATCAAAAATGTTTTAAAAATGTCAAGTGTTGTCTAAAAATTTTAAAAAATAAGAGTACGATTACGATAAGAATGAAGATGTGAAGTGAAGTGGAAAGAATTCAAGTGGTAAAATAAAATAAAGTAAAAACTAGAAAGAACATTACTATGACCAAGGTAAAGAAAGGGGTTTGACAAAACGTTTTTGAACACATAATTTAGGTTTCTGTTCATGTATAGCTAAAGCTTCGGCTATGCATAAGTGAAGAAAACGTAAACTTTTGGATCGATTCGATTTTGCCATGTAGATAACTTTGAAAGATGAATCACGTGGGGCTAAATGACCTGACTCTAACAGGTGATCACAGATAGACGACTTCGCAGTTCTACGTTCGCCTTTCATTAACCAGACTGGATAGTGTTCAGCTACACGTTTTCGGAGATTACGCTTACAACGTCCAATATAAACAGCTCCACAAGAGCAGGTAAAAGAGTAAATACACATGGATGTGGACAAAAGCGGTAATCTATCCTTGACGCATTGTCTAATCATATTTCGGCTGGTAAAAACTAGTTGTAAGTCAGCTGCAGGAAAAGTACGTTTAATACATTTAGATAAACGATTTTTAATCAATTCCGAAATGGTGTCACCTTTGAATGCCAGACTCATAAACAGTTTCTTCTTTGGCACTGTAATTTGTCTGGGGGCGTGTTCTTTCTTGATATTACGTTCGATAAACCTTGTAGGATAACCATTATTAAGGAGATTTGATCGAAGCTTATCTAGTTCACTATCGATTGTCTCTGCAGAGCAGATTTTACGAATTCTAGAGCATAAGGAATGAATAAGATTTCTCTTTCTCCCTAACGGTACCCAACTGTTGAAGTTAGTGTACTGCCCAGTGAATGTTGGCTTTCGGTAAATCGACCTTAGCAACGTACCATTCTCTCTTCTATCTAGCTTTACATCAAGGAAGTGAAATGAGGAATTCGACTCTTCTTCGACCGTGAAAAGCAAAGATGGGTGAGAACCATTAAATATTCCAAGAAGTTCAGCAGTTGAAGAGTTTTCGTCACATACAATGAAAGTGTCATCTATATATCTTTTATACATAAACAAACTACCGATGGTTTCCTTTAGTGGGCCATTCTCTAAGCTAGCCATGAAGACGTCCGCTAAGAGCGGTCCTAAAGGAGACCCCATTGCGACTCCATCCCTTTGATTGTAGATGACATCATTAAATCTAAATTGCACATTCAGTGTGCATCTCAATAATAGTTGTTTAAGATATTCAGTTGGTAACCCAATGTTCATGCTATTTGAATCAATATACTCACATAGATAGCAGATAGTGTCTACTAGTGGTACATTTGTGAACAAAGAACAAACATCTAGCGAAATCATATGCTTACCAGACACATTAATTTCATCAACACAACTGACAAAGTCAAAAGTGTCGGAAAGACTATGTTTACATAGATTTAATCTCACTGGTTCCAGAATTTCCGCAAGCCATTTAGCGGTAGGGTGATACGGTGAATTCAGCATATCCAATACAGGTCGCAGAGGGACATCATCTTTGTGCACCTTTGGAAGACCATATAAACGAGGGATAGTTGAACCAGATGGTTTAAGCTGTTCAAACATATATGGAGTAATGACGCATTCTTGCTTTAGTTTTGTCAAAGTTTTTGATAATTCTTTCTCAATATTCTCTGTCTTGTCTTTTTGATCGGGTGATTTTTGAAATTTTTCTTCATCACTCAGAATGGTACATAATTTGTTGACATAGTCATCACGATTAAGAATGACAATACCTGATCCTTTGTCTGGACGAATCAGTATTATGTTTTTGTTGTTAAGCAATTCATTAAGCTGTCTTTTGTGTTCTTTTGATAACATATGTCGTTGTCTGCCTTGCGTTCTTTGGTACTGGTAATAACAATGAAGTAATGCAGATTTAAATTGTTCAACGTCTTCACTAGACGTTGGACGCAAGTCATGTGTTTGATTCATGAGATTTTCAAACTGAACTTTTGTGTCTAATTCGTTGACTCTGGACGAAAAAGTAGAGAACTTCAGACCGAGAGATAGGATTTGCATTTGAATATCAGACAAAGATATGTTAGAATAGTTGAAAACGTATTTTTCTGGCGAATCCGGAAACTTAAAGTGAGATTCGATTGTTTTGCAACTTTTCAGTAAATTTATTCTAACATCTTCAGATCTTTTCTTTATGACGTCAGGAATATAATCCTGGAAAAGGCTACGTTCTGTCTCTGTTAGTTCAAACAAGAAATGCAAACGTTGAGATACGTTATTCTCAAGTTCAGGGAGACGTGTTTGTATGGCATCGATCAGGTTCAACGTATGACGTTTAAGAGTTCGACCGTTAGGATAAATATGATTACGGCGTAAAATTTTCCAGTAAATTTAAACGTATCATCAATGGAAAACTTAGATACTTGCCTTCTGACTGGTTCCAGTATTTCAGCTAGCCATTAAGCGATTCCGCGGTAAGGAGAACCCGCCATATCGAAGATAGGACGGAGGGGTAATCCTGTCTTATGAATTTTAGGTAGTCCATACAAACGTGGTATCATGGAGCCTACTGGTCGGATGCGTTCATATATTTCCGACGAGATTACTGACTTATTCCTCATGTTCTTTAAAACATCAGTCAGTTGATTTTCAATTAGATGTGTCTTGTTCTTTTCACCATCGGGTTTGGCGAATTTCATTTGGTCGGAAAGGATCGCTGAGATTTTATCATTAAAATCTTGGCGATTCATAACTACAACACCCCCACCTTTGTCTGGACGATATATAATAATATCATCATTCTTCTCTAGTTCTTTGAGTTGATCTATATGCTCTTTAGTCAGAAGAATATTCGAGCTAGGTTTTGAACTAGTAAACTGATGACAGCAATCAAGAACTGTAGATCTAAAGTGTCGGAACTCCTCAGGTGATGTGGGTGTGAGTCGAATTCCTCATTTACCCTCCTTGATGTTAAGCTAGATAGAAGAGAGAATGGCACGCTGTTAAGGTCGATTTACCGAAAGCCAACATTCACTGGGCAGTACACTAACTTCAACAGTTGGGTACCGTTAGGGAGAAAGAGAAATCTTATTCATTCCTTATGCTCTAGAATTCGTAAAATCTGCTCTGCAGAGACAATCGATAGTGAACTAGATAAGCTTCGATCAAATCTCCTTAATAATGGTTATCCTACAAGGTTTATCGAACGTAATATCAAGAAAGAACACGCCCCCAGACAAATTACAGTGCCAAAGAAGAAACTGTTTATGAGTCTGGCATTCAAAGGTGACACCATTTCGGAATTGATTAAAAATCGTTTATCTAAATGTATTAAACGTACTTTTCCTGCAGCTGACTTACAACTAGTTTTTACCAGCCGAAATATGATTAGACAATGCGTCAAGGATAGATTACCGCTTTTGTCCACATCCATGTGTATTTACTCTTTTACCTGCTCTTGTGGAGCTGTTTATATTGGACGTTGTAAGCGTAATCTCCGAAAACGTGTAGCTGAACACTATCCAGTCTGGTTAATGAAAGGCGAACGTAGAACTGCGAAGTCGTCTATCTGTGATCACCTGTTAGAGTCAGGTCATTTAGCCCCACGTGATTCATCTTTCAAAGTTATCTACATGGCAAAATCGAATCGATCCAAAAGTTTACGTTTTCTTCACTTATGCATAGCCGAAGCTTTAGCTATACATGAACAGAAACCTAAATTATGTGTTCAAAAACGTTTTGTCAAACCCCTTTCTTTACCTTGGTCATAGTAATGTTCTTTCTAGTTTTTACTTTATTTTATTTTACCACTTGAATTCTTTCCACTTCACTTCACATCTTCATTCTTATCGTAATCGTACTCTTATTTTTAAAAATTTTTAGACAACACTTGACATTTTTAAAACATTTTTCAATTCACTTATAAAACAATCTTTAATAATTTTGTAATTTATCCACTTCAACTCTACCCCTTATAACATTTTAATTATCGTTATTCTTATCACATATATGTATATTGACTGAGCAATTATTTAGTGCCACTTAATGACCTTTTCTGTAATATAAATACGACTGTACAGCTTGAAAATGAAGTCGTTGAAAAGAAATTTCTTCGCTGAACAAAAACTGTGTTTTTACTTATGAATAAATGGGTATTTTTCGTGATTTAAAATTACATATGACGTTCACTAGCCGCAAGTTGTTCTCTACCTCTGTAAAAGATAAGCTCACCCGTCTGGCCACCTCCATGTGCATCTATCAGTTCACCTGCTCTTGTGGAGCAAGGCACATTGGCCGTAGTCAGAGGACGCTTTCCACACGGATACGAGAACATATTCCAGCTTGGTTTTACAAGGGAGAAAGGAAGTGTGTGCGAAGCTCTATTTTGGAACACCTGATCGACTTCTGTCAGTCTGTCAACCCTGACCATGATTTTAAGATCATATATAGAATCCATACTAACTTCCCGCGTTTTATTCGTTACAGACTTCTAAAGACAGCTGAGGCCTTGGCAATTCATGACTTTAAGCCAGACCTTTGTGTACAAAAGAAGTATGTACAATCCCTACTTCTGCCTTGGCCGTAGAGGGATAGACATTTATTTATTTTGTTTATTTAGTTATTCTATGTACTCTTCCCTTATTACTACGATTATTATTAATATTATTATCATTATTATTACTTTTCTCACTCTGAATCTTTTCCACTTGACCCACTTGACATTTTAAACCCAAAATTATTAATTTTTTTAATTTTTATATTTACAATATTGAATTCTATCTTATCAAATTTCACACCATGTTATGTAACATTTTATATTCGTCTACTAATCTTATAATTATATACCCGTTTCCAAAAAATCTATACACCTTATGTATTATTCTATATTCGACATTAATTATTTTGCCACTTGACATTAAACTATGATTATAATCACAAATATTTTAATTGTTCTTTAATTGCTAATAATTCTCTTATTCATTCAGAAGTCTCACGTAATTTCGTACTTTCTACTTTGTTCCTATGTGTATCCTGAGTAAAATTCAATCACCAAACTATTCTGTTTGTGACAACTCATCACCCTAATTTCACTAACACGTAGAGAGGAAATTGATCGTTTAGGTTGTAAAGCTACACTGATTGAGATGGATAGGAAATGCGTTACGCATACCAAACCATCGCCTCTCTCCTCCAAGTAGTGTTAGCTGACATAGAATTAGGTTGGAAAAAAGTTACGGATGATCATATCGGAACCTGGCATCAATCCATAAAGCCACTGTCTGTTGGTTTAAGCTATGTAAGCAAATGTGGATGATTCCACTGAGGTTCTCGAGACGCTAGGAGCCGACTGTTGGCGATATGATTCAAAATCTCAATTGGGTAGACGCATCCACTCTTAATGAACTTTCATTTTGCATTAAATTCTCCCTACTCTCCAAGTACTTATTTTTTTTATCCTGAACGTTTCTGTTCACTAGAGTACCTTTGGATTTTTACTTAATTTAGTTTGGCTATTTGAACTGTTGCACATTTGTGCGAAGTTCTTCGCTGAACACTTCATCAGTCAATAAGGTTTCCGATAAAATTTAAGTGAAAAAGGGTTTCTAAAAAAATGGTTATTCAGAATGGAAATTATTTTCATTTTCCAAAGCTTCTAAATGTTTGAATGAATATTTTCGCTATATTATACTTGAGATAAAAATGCTTTCCTAATATAATAGCTACAATTAATTTCCCAAACTGTATTTCTTGAAAAAGAATATAAATGGTTTTCACAATAAGTAAACATTTTTGAGAAAAAGAGAGGGTAACTTTTATTTCAAGCCTGAACTTGGAACAGTTCAAATCCCTACAAATTAACCCCTGAAAGATTATTTTTTAAAATCTTAGTTAAGACTTCTCAGAATCTGTTTCAAAAGACCAATAACACAGACCAAAGACACATAACTTGAATCTAGAGTTGCTTTTTTAATTGACCAATGCTATATATTCACAATTTTGTCCCATCAAAAAATGACTAATATTTTTATGTTTAAGATCGGCCTAAGCTATTGGACTGAGGCAGAAGACTTACTATAATGTGATTGGACAACCACATGCTTGACCTCATACAACCAAACCGATTAGTTATTTAACCGACTTCACTTTCCAATCATCTGTAATGTATTGTAACAGCATAAAAAGCCTTATAGATAAAGTACTAAACAACGTTCACTTTTTTTCCTTTTTAGGCAAATACCCAGGAGTCAATTCTCTGATGCAAGAGGAGCAACTGCTATCGAGACTTGATATTAATGAATACAAAAAGACTGATTGTTTTTAAGGGCTTATCCTGCACATTCTGATTTTTGGAAATGCTCTGAATACACACGTCTTTTCAAAGTTCGTGTTCTACCTTCCTCTCTTATGTGACTGCTGGTCATTGTGCTACAGTATTTTTGTTTGTTAGAGTGAATTCTTTTCGCTAGCTGACACCAGTTGGTCTTCTGCTTTTTTCCATGGCCTCAACGGGCAGAGAGTGTGTGGTATTTCATCTTCAGTCAAGTTGCCTGTTGCATTTCCGAAGGGAATCAAAACTCACAGCATTATTATTTACAGGTCTATGAAGTTATATTTTCTTTATTTTTGTTTGTTCCGATCTGGAACGAATATATTCATGACTAAAATGCGAAGCAATATGTGTTGAATCAAACTCGCAATTCTCAATTCACAGTTTCCCTTAAGAAACCGAAATTATTTAGATCACAATACATATGATCTACTTGGCAATCAAGAATGCGAGCATACATGAGTGATCCTATATACTACTGACAGGTTGATATGAGTAGTTGGATACTACTCACATAGACCAATAGAGCTTGCTGAAGTGATCTAAACACGGGACGGTTGTTTCGCTCGTTTTTGGGGCTAAGCGCCTTAGAGGTAAACTCATTTTGACTCAGCTAAGAGAGTCGAATAAGTTCAAAACCAGCTAAATTTTGTGTTAAACCATGTTTACTAACATGACCAGTTTTTCTACTTGCTGATAATTTCAACCATCAACTCTTGGTCTTTTACAATTAACATCTAGGGTAACAGTAAACGATATGTCGAAGAACAAAAAATCAGTTAACTCACGCGATCAGTATCAAGACACAGACTGCAATCACATTTAAAGTAATAATTCTTCATTAGATTAGTTTGTCTTTCTTCAGTCGTTGTCATACAATCATAATAATTGATACGAGGCTGTTAAGTGAGAAAGACATTACCAAAAAGAGAATACTTGATAAGTAAAACAATAATACTGTTGTTTATCAATAACCTTATAAGGGCATTTGTTTGATGCACAAAAGGAAACTGATTTCAAACAAATAGCGAAATATACTTCACAGATTCATGCTAAATGAATGAATTAGTTTGCCCAACAAACATTATATATATAAATTAGCTAAATACACGTAGTATCCATAGATAGCTACAATTTTTCTGTGGTGCAACACGAGGCATGCATACTTCACCGTCAGTCAGGACTTTTAAATGCATCTTTAGTAGTGCCAGGTTAATATGCGGCAGTTGAAGCGCCCAACCAATTCACACGATAAGTCAATACTGATCAATCTTGAAACAACAATGTCGAAGGTGAGAAGCACAATCCAAATATCCTCAGGTTATCCCTCAAATAGTTTAAAATTTTCGATAATTTTTTCAGCATTACAGCCATCTGTTCACCTTGATCCAACTTAAAATGGTGAGGTAACCTTTAGGTGACAGTGGCTGGAATATCTCAACCAATTGTACACCTCTAATAGCGATTAAATCTTTTTTGATGATCACTTTTCTTAAACATTTCATCCATCTCCATTGACAGCCTTTGGATTCTATCAGCTAGAAAAGTTATAATGATCCCAGTTCAGATGATGACACGTTAATGAAAGAAAACCAAAAAGGAAATAATTAAGAACATTCTAGTACGCCTAAAAAATAGCACACCAAATTAACAAGAAGTTGAATAATCTTGATAATCATTTTAACCAAAGGTCTGACGTGTCAAGTTAAGAATGACCACTGCTCTGACACAGTTGCTGTTAGAGTCACCACAGAGTTAGACAGTAGTCTACATAACACTACAGCAGCAAACTAGGGCTTCAACATGCCAAATTCCCGCAAGAAGAAAAGGTGTAGCAAGCGATATAGACGTACTGCAGAGCTCCCTGCACAAGTCACCCCCACTGTAGACTTAACCACCTTTGAAACTCAGATAAATGACGATCAGCCACTATTCGAGTGAGATGAAGAGAGGGAAAATGAATGGGGAAATATCCTCTCTTGCAAGAGGAAAAACAAACTAACTGAGTATAACTTATAGCTTCTGACGGAAGATAAGCAATCAATGCCTCGAAGCAAGAACACCAACCACAGAAAGCCCGATTAACCTTCAGAGGTCGATCATTCTCCACGAAGTTTCAGAATCAAGAAAATCATGTATAAATTCAGGTTCAAGCACAATTTCTTCCTCATCGAATCTATTAGACAAACTACTTCCTATGACAGTAGCAAGTATTGCCATCTATAGTCTGTACTAAATCAGAAAAAAGGCTGACTGAAAGAAATTAGTCGACACGTCTTCCCATAGTCACAGTTCAATCACAAATTGATACAGATGCTATTCTGAGCGACATTCATATTCTTATAGAGTCGCGCATCTATGTCAGCGTAGACTCATGCCTAACAGATTATCAAAAAAAAGTCTACTGAATTAGGATTAGGTGAACTGCACCAAAATAGGGAGGAAAATCTCATTGATAAACGCTTGAGGGTGGTGAAATTCTGAGGCTTCATGATCCTAAACCTCCATGGATAGGGCGCGGAAGTATCGAGTCGAAATAACAGTAAGATACACAAATAACCGCAGACCAGTGAACAAATGGATTGAGTTGCGTCGTCTGCCTGACTAGGAAAATCCTGACAATGTCAAAGCTACATAATCACGGCCACCAACTGAAATCATAGAAAATGAAGCCAACCTACTAAATCTTACCGTACGCAGGGAAGACCAATGAAACCACAGAGACGACGAAGTAATCACCAACCTTGAAAAGAACCTATCTTCGCGTAAAACAGAAGTACTTGCACACGGAAGTGGATCATGTGAACATATACGCTGTAGACTAAAATACAAAGGACAATACATCCATTTGACTGCAATATATCGTAATTCTGATTGTAGGGCAAACTACTATCCCATACAGAAATTAAGCCTATAGATGTCAGTGTCGTCACCTTATAATCACTGACTTCAACGCCTCTTCAGTCGACTGGAAAAATCTAACAACGGCATTATCAGACGATTTCTGCAACGCTATGCTGGTAAGATCTTCTATTTCACAGGCTTTAGTCTAGCACGTCGAGAAACCCAAGCCCTAAAGGTCCTTACGTAGCTGTGTAAGGGCTTATGGGGAATTGTCATCTGAATTGATAACAACCAGTGGTGTCCGTCAAGGATGTCCACTTTCCCCTTTTCTGCTTAACTTCATCATAGATATGCTAATGGAAGTATCCTTAACTGAACTTAATGACTTAGGAATCGACTTGTTACCAGGGAATAGTCTTATAGACTTAGAATACGCAGACGACATAGTCCTGTTAGGAGACGACGCTGACAAAATGCAGAGTCTTCTGAACACCTTGAGCAGCAATCTTCGTATGTTTGGCATGCGATTCGCCCCTGTGAAATGTAAGATGCTGCTACAGGACTGGACTACGTCAACTCCTAGCTTAGTGATAGGGAGTGAAGTGATAGAACATGTTGACCACTTCACCTACTTGGGAAGTTGTATCAGCACCAACGGATTGATTGGTGACGAAATCACAGCACGGACCCAGAAAGCTCGGGCTGCTTTCGCTAACTTACACCATCTCTGGCGTAGGCGTGACATCCGGCTGTCAACCAAGGGACGTGTATACTGCTCAGCAGTTCGCTCCATTCTTCTCTATGGCGGTGAGACGTGGCCATTGAGAGCGGAAGACATGAAGAGATTGTCTGTTTTTGACCACAGATGTTTACGATCTCTTTCTCGCGTTAGGTGGTATAATAAGGTAAGTAATGTTGACGTTAGGCGTAGAGTGTTGGGCAAAGAGGGAGAATCAATCGAAGAGGCTATGAAGTTACATAGATTGAGATGGTTAGGCCACGTGCTGCGCATGCCTAACCATCGTCTCCCCCGACGGGCATTACTAGCTGATATAGGTGTTGTGGGTTGGAAAAGAGTAAGTGGTGGCCAAACAAAAACATGGCATCAATCCATGAAATCCCTGACAGTTAAACTGAGTCAGATAGGGAGATGCAGACTTCCGGGTTGGAGTCCTCGGGACTCTAAGAATCAATGGCTGGAAACAATAGGTGACATGGCTCAAAATCGTTGTCAATGGCTTACGCAGATGTATTCAGTCTCTGTAATCTTTCATATTCCTTTCTACCATTACTCATTCTGTTTCACTCTTATACTTATCTAAATTCTATTGATTCTCTTCTCTCATTTTCCTGTCTACCTTTGTGTGCTATTTGGAACGTGGCAACTCGGACTGCTGCACTTCGGTGCCAAGTTCTATGTTGAATCCAGCAGCAGCAGCTGGAATTGGTCTTCTACAACGGTAAGGGTGTGGATTTCATGTAATATTTACCCTCCCTAGGAAGAAGTGATTACGCAGTTCTCAGCTTTAAGGTCACTACTTCCGTAGTATCCTAGACCAAGAATCTAGCGCGAATAGACATAAGTAAGGTCGATATAAATGCTATCACTACTGGAGCCTCATCAGAGGACTAGACTAAATCAGAAAGCTCATACTGAAGTCAATTTAAGCAGCTGTGCATTCGAGTAACCCAACCTTACATTCATGGACTACGTCCGAGCGTTGAAAGCATTGGTCACATTTATAAAAATAGAGATTCATGGTTTACTTAGGTATAAACACACTGGTCTTCACCCAAGGCTTCACAAGGAGCTGTCAGCACATATAGCAGGCTCACTAACTGCTATTCTCCTACAATCTTCTTCAAACTAGATGTTACCGCGTAACTAGGGGGATGCAGCAGTAACCCATGACCATAATGAAGAATCTATTGACTACTCCTCAAAATTCGAGCCTATTAGCCTTAGCACCACCTTAATCAGGATAGTGGAGAGAAAAATCAAGAAAGCTATCATGGCATATTATGAAATAACTTGTCAAGTACGGCACGGTTTTGGGAGAAACACCTAATGTCTGACAAACATCATAACGAAAACAGCTGGTTTATTTCTAGGGATAACAAGAAAGCCATAGACGTTGTCTCTTTAGATTTTAGTACAGCTTTCAACAAAGTGTTTCTCAGAATATTGTTCATGAAACTGAAAAGTTTCGGAATCAGCTGGATCAAGAAATCTCTTGCAGATAAAAGACATACCGTCAGGAACAAGTCAGAACTTTCTTCCTGGACGACGGTATGTCATGGCGTGCTACACGGCGTTATACTAAGCTTCCTCTTGTTTATCTTGTATACAGAAGAATTACATGGGCACATCGAATCTTGTATGGTTGTCTACGGAGTGCATGTGACACACAGGTAATACCACTCCCTTCATTGAAGAAACACGGGTCAAAGCATCGCAGTAAATAGTGACTTAAAAACTACAGTCCACTATCTTTCAGTCTCAGCTTGCGCATTTAGATCTTTAAGGGAAATACGTAGGTCCTCTGCTAGAATCAACAGTAAAATGTTTACCATTTTATACATCGCTGGTGAGGTCAGAACTAGAAAACTGCATCCAGACAACCAGCCCTTGCCCAAAAGGCTGCTCACGCACACTGGAAAGAATTCAAATAGCCATGTGTATGATTCCTGGTATAACTTATCTATCACAAGGGATAACTTAACAGTCATAATCTCTTCTCATAGTCATACCACAGGCGGAGTGGAGATCTAATTACAATGTTCGAAATTTAAAATAATCATAATAATCCCGTTCTATTGAGTCTGAAAATATCGGAGATTTTGAAAGCCAAAGAAGAACTATGCTGCTCTGGAGTGGTGGTTCTCGCACTGAGTCACTAGGTCCTGGAACCGAATTCGAGAAGAAATGGTGTCTGTTCCTCCGACCAAAGCATTAGGCAAGGATGCCTACTTGTTAAAAAAGGATTAACGTAGACCTGGAGTACCCCATCCTCAATCCAAAATGCATATCTAAATGCTATCTTCCAGTAACATTCAAACGATAATTATAATTGTATTAACCTTCACCTTAATGTTAATCCAAGTATTACATCCAAACCCTAACTCACACACATAAATAAATTGGTGTCATGTTTTAACTAAGACTAGCTGTTTAAATTTACTTGTACGTTTGTTGATTCAATGCACTAATATTCGATCACAGTTTTTTAACACTACTAATAAATATACAATTGACAGGTTGTTACTTTATAAGTGTCGAGGAAAATAATACACAGAATATGTGTTAATAATACAAACACTAAGAAATTAATAAAGATTACATTTAGAACGCTTTTTTCTCTTATAAGTATTGAAGATCACTCTGACTTAAGGGTGCAATGTATTAGAGGCCGTACACGAGTCGGTGGCACAGAGGTAGAATGTTCGCCAACCAAGCATGTGGTCCGGGGTTCGGTCCCCAGCCGATACATTCCTTTACCTAGCCAAGCCACTAACAAGACTGGTAAAGAGGGAGGTTATGCATGAGGCTAGCAACCCTATTTCGTGAAAATAAACACCACTGCTGCTGAAACTTCAAGCCCTATGTTCCACTGGGAACGTACAGGAATAAAAAAATATGAATAGTTCGAGCCTCACCCATGATTATCACTCTAATTATGATTATAATTGACGTAGGACAAAAATATACAAACATATACAAGGTAGGCACTTACCTCAATTGATATTGAAGATGTGGAGTACCTGCACATAACAATCTTTTGATCACAAAATATGTACTGTAAATCTGGAATACAAGAATGGTCCAAGCGCGCAGCTCTGTCTGAAATAAGAGGATTACTATATTATGCAAACCTAAGGTAGAGTGCGAGCCCAACATCTGCGCCATCAGTATCGGTAATCATGAAACTATTTATCTTAATCTTCAGCAGTTAAAAATGAAATCCCTACTTACTCTGCAAAATAATTGAAAAATAGCTTCTTCACTTAGAGGTAATTTACCTTCTGAAAACTCGAAAAGAGTCATTCTAAAAGTGTGGTACATTTCCATTAGATTAATATCTGCAAGTATTTCTTTCTCATCTGCAAGAGAAACGAATGCTTATAAAATTGTACTCACGTACGTGAGACAAGGGAACTGATATTGTCGTTCAGTTCATTCTAAACATATAGAGACATTTAATGGAACAAACCTGAACACTCATGATCCTTAGAATTAGACGAACGTGAGCAATAGGTAAGCGCCCACACTTAACGTACTGCTTACATTCCAGTTTATGCGCATTCCACATGCGACGTTGACATGTGCGGTTACAATACCTCATCATTTTGCACGATGAACAAGAAAATAGACTTGAAGAGGTTTTAAGGCATCCATCACAATATTCCGTAAGTTTATTGGTCAACAGAGAATGCACATAAGGGGACTCCACACTATACAAACACCCAGTCAAGGTCATCTTTTGAATGTGAGACAAGGTCGTACTCGGCCTTCAATTGAATGTCACTAACTGCAAAAAACAAACGAAGTCTGATAAAATATCTGAACTCTTGAATTTAAACCAAAAGCAATAATGATGAGACACAAAATATTTCCCGTTTCTTCTCACTGATAAATACTTTAATGCACTGATAGTCATTTCATTGAAAGATAGGCAGTTTCCTAGAAAATTGTTAGGCAGACCAGCCATAGAAGGGGATTTCATATTCCATATTTACCAGTAAGAATCTGTGAAGGGGAGTCTTTAATTTTATCTTCTCAAAGACTTTTCCCTAAAGTGGGACTTCTGGTTTAGTACTGCAAGAATTTTCTTAGTTTAGTAAACACTATGACTTACATAATGTAGAATCTCCAAAATTGTCATGAAGATGAAAACTAAATTTGATGAGGATCACGTGATAATTTCAGGTTTTGTTAGTAGCCTTCCCGTTTATTAGTGCATTTTAGTTTAGTTTTTACGAGATGAAGTTCGTATACGGGCCCACTAGTTTAGTAGTGGAGGTTTTGGTGGTTACATAAGATACTCTATATGCATATGGCGGCCTGCTGGAAGCTTGAGCTACCAGAAACTTCCATCCGCCGATCGCATATACTTCGTCGAGTTCGCCTTGATTTAATCGAACAAGATATGACCTCTAATGCTCCTGATTCTCACAGTTAAACTAAACTTGCTGAGAGGCTTGATTGTGGGCAGCAGCGGGGCGATTAAGTGGCATATCCCTATTCGAAGTGGCGCCACCTGCATTGCTGGGATTTGCGCGGTTTAGGTAATTCTAGTTAGGGATAGTTGTCCGAAGGACGTTATATCTAGGTTCAAGGTCAGGATGGGTTTCTACGTCATGTGGTTATGTGTTGCATCCCTCATAGTTTCGTTTCAGTACTAAATGAATACAATGCAATCTGCAGAATTCATAAAAATCACAAAATAACGTACTGCCTTTTCAAAAGACCCAGTTGCTGTTTCCTAAGTAAAGTGAGTAATAGGCATTGTGGTAGTGTGAACTCAGTTGACTGTGAGCTGCTGTTAGTGAAAATAACAACAGTTCTTAAAATTTCGAGTTATAATTTTAGCTTGGCTCCAACACCCACTGTAGTGACCCATGTTATTACTCATCATAGTACTATACTTTCATTGTGTAATTGTACTTTGATTTGTTTATTACTCTAAATCTTGCATGTTAACAATTGATACCTTTTGTACTCGCTCGATTTTCGAATTTTGATTGCTGCAATAATACACTATCGTATTCCTTCGCAAGTGCCTTTTGAATTACGTTGCGGATGTCGAGTAATCGCAACGTTAGGTCACAATTATAAACGCGAAGAAGTAATAGAATATACGTGTACTCTAATTCAGTCAAAATATAGCAGCAACAAATTGGTGAGCCCGACGATAACCTGCTGACCCCGACGACGACGACTTTTGATCTCGACGCGTTGTTACACTTGTTGGATTAATAAAACTTTAACCTTCGTGGATCTATATATTTATTAGATATCCCGAACTCGTTTTTGTGTTTGCTCATAGCACAACCTGCAGTAATTGTGGTAAGCACCTGCATTGTATGCTTTTTTTATTTTATTTTGCCGTTTTCTTAGTGTGCACAAATTTCGCTATTTTGCTACTCTTAAACCATTTTTTTACGAATTGTAACATGTCTTCCAATACCTCTGATAACTTAGAGCTGGAATCTGTTAGTACTATTTCTCTTACTGTACCAGTTTTTAAGCCCAGAGACCCTCATCTTTGGTTTGCACGACTGGAACACTATTTGGCTAGCAATAAGCTCACGTCACAGACAGCTACATTTGGCATTTTGAGTACAGTGCTACCAGACGAAGTCACCGAGCAGGTACGGCAATACATCGTTCATCCCAGCACAGAAGCGCCTTACGACAAGTTGAAGGAAGAGGTACTGCGATGCACTTCGCTTTCAGATAGGCAAGCACTCGATCGCCTGTTAAGCAATGTTGAGTTAGGTGATAAAACCCCATCTCAACTCATGAGGCATATGCAAAGCCTAGTTGCAGGAAGAGAAATCGATAAACGTCTCTTTTATCAAATCTGGCTACGACGACTTCCTCAAAACATCCAGCAGGTTCTTGCTTTCGGAGACGATGACATTGACATAGAAAGGCTCACCGAAATCGCAGATCGCATGTACGAGAGGTCAACACCTCAATCTGTCGCTTCCACTAGCAGAATACCAGATAAAGTTATCACGATAGACCCACTGAATAAAGCAGAAGCCATCAGAGTCGACAAAACGTCAAACGAACGCATAGAAGCCTTAGAACCTAAAATCGACGTGCTCACTGAGCAATTAATGACAATGAGGGTTAATAGACAACCTACCACAACGTACAGAAGACAGCGTAGCCACTCACGCAATAGGCGTAAATATAGCTTACAACAGAATATATGCTGGTATCATCGCAAATTTGGGGTACACGCAAAACGGTGCACACAACCTTGTGCTTTCCAACAAACGGTGGCGTTGGGAAACGAAAAGGCCGGCGGTCGGTGACGACTGCGGTCGCTGGCCAACTCACGTCCTACAGCCGTCTATTCAGGGTGAGAGACAAAACAACGGGGGCACAATTCCTGGTAGATACCGGTGCAGAAATTAGTGTAGTTCCCCCAAAACCCAACGAACGCTTACAACCAAACCCAGCATTAGTTCTCAAGGCTGCGAACAATTCTACCATAAAAACATTTGGAACTCGGAGACAAAAACTTAATTTTGGATGCAGTACACCATTTGAGTGGGAGTTCGTAGTCGCCGACGTAACCTTTCCTATCATTGGAATGGATTTTCTTCAACACTACGAATTGCTAGTTGACTCTAGTCACCATAGATTGATAGATAGCAGTCGTAAACTATCGATTTCAGGCATCTCCACAGATGTCGAGAGTATTCGCTTGATAGTAGCCACAACAGATCAATTATCCAGGTACGATATTTTGCTAAAGAAATTTCCTGAACTGACACAGAGCGATTACTCCACAGCCTCTCTCAAACACAACGTTACACACCATATTGTAACTAAAGGTCCACCGGTCTCAGCAAAACCACGTCGTTTAGATCCAGCTAAAATGCAAATAGCAAAAGCAGAGTTCAACAGATTATTGGATCTAGGAATAATACGACCGTCAAACAGCCCACGGTCATCACCACTGCATATGGCACCAGAGAAAAACTCAACAGAGATACGACCATGTGGAGATTACCGAGCTTTAAATAAGCAGACGATAGCAGATAGATACCCAATTCCGCACATCCACGATTTTTTCCATAACATGGCAGGTGCTCAGATATTTTCCGAAATTGACCTCGTTCGTGCATACTACCATATACCGGTAGAACCCAAGGACATCCCCAAAACGGCGGTAACCACTCCTTTTGGCTTATTCGAGTTCGTCCGCCTACCATTTGGCTTGACTAACGCAGCGCAAACATTTCAGAGATTCATTGACCAGGTATTGCACGGCCTCCCATTCACTTACGCTTATATAGATGATATACTGGTTGCAAGTAAATCCCCTGAGGAGCACCAACATCACTTAGAAACACTCTTTAAACGTTTAGCCGAATATGGAATTGTCATTAAACCAAGTAAATGTGAATTCGGTAAGAAAACTATAAAATTTTTGGGACATCAGGTAGACAATCAAGGCATTCGACCAATAGCAGAACAGCTGCAAGTCATAAAAGAATACCCGATTCCTTCAAAAAGTTACGCAGATTTCTTGGTCTCGTCAATTTTTATCGCCGTTTCATTCCTCACTGTGCACAGCTGGCCCAACCTCTGACAGATCTACTAAAAGGTCATGCAAAATCGCTGCACATGGGTACTTCAGCAATCGAGGCATTTGAAAAGCTGAAACAAACTCTAAGCTCAGAAACTTTACTAGTACGTCGTGACGTCAACGCTCCTATAGCGATTATGACAGATGCATCAGACGTCGCCGTCGGTGCAGTTCTTCAACAATTTTCTGCTGGGAAATGGCAACCTCTCTCCTTTTTCTCCAAACGTCTAGACGATACTCAATCAAGATATAGTGCATTCAATAGAGAATTACTAGCAGTCTATCTTGCTGTTAAACATTTTCGTCATATGGTAGAAGGAATACCGTTTGCCATCTACACAGACCAAAAACCACTAACAAAGGCCATGAATGCAAAGCACAAGTACTCGCCAAGAGAACTCCGACACCTCGAGTTCATTTCTCAGTTCACTTCAGATATTAGATTCATAAAAGGACATAAAAACTAGGTAGCAGATGCGTTATCCCACATCCATATAAATACCTTAGAAAAAGACCAGTTTGATCTTAAAAATATGGCTAGACTGCAAACTATGGACGAGGATCTGAAAAGAATAAAAAATAGCACGAGTACTTCCTTACGTTTGCAAGATGTTATGCTTGATGAAGGCTTAATTATTACGTGTGATGTTTCCAAAGGTAAACCGCGCCCTTTTGTCCCACTAGAAATGCGAAGATCAGTATTTTCCAAAATACATGGCATTTCTCACCCTGGCATCCGAGCAACAGCTAAACTGATAAGTGACCGATATGTATGGCCGAATATGAATCGGGAGATTAAACAGTGGGCCAGATCATGTTTAGCCTGCCAAAAGTCAAAAGTACAACGACATACAGTTTCGCCTAATGGCCAGTTTCCAGAACCTGATGGCAGGTTCCAACACATACACATTGACATCGTTGGACCGTTACCACCATCTAATGGCTTTACGTACATTTTAACGTGTATTGACAGATTTACGAGATGGCCAGTAGCTTGTCCCTTACCTGATATTTCTGCTGAAACTGTTGCAAAGAGCATCATGCAAAATTGGATTTCCAACTTCGGAGTGCCCGCCATTATTACTACAGACAGAGGTGCCCAACAACTCACAGAACTACTGGGAATCAAACGTATACGTACTACTGCATATCATCCCAGTTCAAACGGCTTAGTGGAGA